CGCCGTCACCGCATCCCCTGGTGCCCTCTGGGCCTTGGCCGAGCGGTGGGCTTGTACCCCGTTGGCCAACCGGGCCGCACAGGCCATTCTTGGGGGGCCACCCCACAACGTGGCCCCCCGCCTGGTTCGGGTGGCCCGGCTGGCCCGATGTCCCCCTCGCCTGGCCCGGGCCTTGATGGCCGCTGTGGCACCCAGGGGGGCCCAGCCCCACCTTGATATGGGGGAACCATGGGGTGGGGGTGACCCCCTGCTGCGACCCCCTGGAGATGCCAATGGGGACCTCGGGGATGTCCAGGAGGACCTCAGGGACCTGGAGGATGACTTTGGGGTCCCTTACAAGGACCTCGGGGACACCCAGGGCGACCTCAACAATGGGGCAGACCCCTTTGGGGACCCTTCTGTGGATGGTGGGGACCCCTTAGGTGAAGATGATGTGGACATGGAGGTCAAGGGGCCTCTCTAAGACCTTGGGGAACCCCAGCAGGACCTTGGGGACCCCTTTGGGGATCTTGGGGACCACTGCATGGGTGTTGGGGACCGCTTAGATCAAGATGAGGAGGACATGGAGGTCAGGGACCTCTCTAGGACCTTGGGGACCCCCAGCAGGACCTTGGGGACCACTGCATGGGTGTTGGGGACCCCTTAGATGAAGACAAGGAGGACATGGAGGTCAGGGACTTCTCTAAGACCGTGGGGAGACCCTCGGGGACCCCTCTTAGCTGAAGATGATGTGGATGTGGAGGTTCTCTAAGACCTGGGGGACCCTTTTACGAGTCCTGGGGACTCCTTTGATGAAAATCAGGAGGACATGGAGGTCAGGGGACCTTTCTAAGACCTTGGGTACACCTTGGGGGATCCCTTTATGGTTGTTAGGGACCCCTTAGACTGTGATGAGAGGGGCAAAGAGGTTAGGAGAGCTCTCTGAGATCTTGGGGACACCTTTAGGGACCTTGAGGAGGTGGAGAACACCTTCAGGGACCTCTGTGGGGACCTTAGGGAGGACTTTGTGGACTTGAAGGACATTGTGGACCTTCTTGGGGACCCTTCTGTGGGTGTGGGGACCCCTTGGCTGAGGACAAGAAGGACCTGGAGGTCAAGGGACCTCTCTTATGACCTTGCGAACGCCCGTTAATCTTGGGGGTGCACGGAAGGTCTATAGTGACTTTGGAGACCCCCTTAGTTGAAGGGGAGGAGGACATGGAGGTTGAGGGACCCCTGTGGGGACCTGAGGGATCCCCTTGAGGTCCTCCTTTAGATGTTAAGGCCTGTTTTGATGAGGATGACGAGGCCAGGGAGGTGGAGGAGCCCCATGAGGACCTTGGGGGTCTCCTGTATGTGTTGAGGACCTTTTTGATGATGGAGATGAGGCTGGCGAGATGGGGAGCCTCCCCCCCTCTCCCCCGCCAAAGACTTGGGGACCCCTGTGAGGACCCCCTTGAGGGCCTCATCAAGCTGTTGAGGCTTTTTTTGATGATGAAGGTGAAGCCGGGTAGGTGGGAGACCCCTGTGGGGACCTTGAGGACCCCCACGGTGGCACATGGGAAGGAGGCCCAGATTTGGGGTAGGAAATCACAAAAATTTGGGGTAGCACGCACCCCCCCACCACCACCACCACCTCCCCCCCCAGGTTATGGGGCATCCCTATGGTGTTGGGGAGGGCATGCCCGGTTTTGGGTAGATCGGAAG